AATCAAGGGGGGGGGCAAGTACCTTAAAGTTACCAAAGGAAGTCCTGGGGGAGTGGAGGTGGCTCCTGGGCCTGAGCAGTGAAACGTCACTGGCAGGTTGAAGGGTAAATAGGGCAGTGGGCTGATGAGCTTGTGCTTTCTCATCTCTAAGGGAGGTTCCCACTACAGGGCCAGGTTGTTGGAAGACCTGCAGTAATTCAGAATTCTTTAGGTCGTCGCCATGTTGATTTTGGGTGCCATCGGGCCACTGTGCCTCTTCCCTAACACACTAGCCAAGTCGCATCCGTGTTGAGTGACGTCATGTTGTGGAGAAACCCTGTCACTGGTGAGAGCAATGTGAGACGAGATCGCTGAGGGGAGTCTCTTGAAACATGAATGAAGCAGGAAGTTCAGCTAAACTAAATCAAGGATCCTACAGCACCTCCACAAGGAGGAAGCAGAGGACCCTTTGGCCTGCCCTCTCCCTTTACGAGTGAGGAAACGGGAGCTCGGAGGGGACCTGGCTTTCCCAGGGACGCGCACAGGGTGGGGGCAGCATGAGACCAGGACCCGGGCCCCCCACTCCCCAACCCGTGACCCCTCAACATCGCCAAACCAGTGATCACTGAGGGAGCGCGAGAGCCGAGGTTCTTCATTCTGTGCTTAGAATGAAGGAGCTGGTCTCTCTGGTTTCAACTCACGTGGTTGAGAAGGTGCCCTGGGCGGGACGACCCATGGCAGAAGGTGCCGCACCAGGGCAGGAGCCGGACCTGAGCATTTGTCCTAGAAACCCTAGCCTGTCGTCCTATCATTTTAAAATAGCTTTTCTTAATTTGATGGTGTCTTTATCTTCTTGAAGCTCAAAATAAAATTAACCTTTTTGGAGGGAAAAAACACTCCCATTAAAATTGTCCTGAATGCTCTTTTGTAAAGCAAGGACTAGCTCCCAGTGCTCTGTTGTTACTTCTAAACTATAACTGACAAAAGTATTGTGATCGGAATGCTGCACAAATGACAGCAGGGCCACGGGCAGCGAGGGCTCATTAAGCAGCCATCAGAGGAGCCTGGCACATTCCACAGCCGGGCTTCCCTCCAGTTCCATCACTTCTAATTCCGCTTTTTGGCTACAGCCCCAGGAGCCTGAGCAAAGGTCTCACAAACATCCCATGGCTCTCTAAGCGCTGGACAATATACAGTGGGGCAGGCCCCTAATGGATGCCGCTTTCCTCCCAGAGCCCGAGTGACAAATGGGGTCTCTAAAGGACCAGTTCCCTGCCTTCGTTCACTTATTACTGGTGCTCTTCACTCCCCACCCAGAGGGATTGGGACTGGGAGCTGGTCCACAGGCCAGCCTTCTCTCCCTCCCACTCCATGGTCCAGTTCTTTGCCATCTCTTGTCTGGACTTCGCAGCAGCCTCCAAACCGTTCTCACTGGTGACCTGCCTTGCTCCCCCTAAGTCTACCCCCCACATTTATTTGTTTCTGTAACATATATTTATGGGGCCTCTCGTGAGCTCTGAGCACTGTGTTGGGCTCTGGGATATAGGGATAGAGAAGACAGATAAAGTCCTGCCTTCCTGAGCTTGCCATCCAGTAGAGGAGGCACACGATGAACCAGCGAGCTCATTCCAGGCAGGGTCAGGGCTGTGAGGGAAGAGAACTGGGTGGGGCTGGGAGTGCCTGGGCAGCCTTAGCTGGCAGGTCCAGGAGGCCTACCGAGGGGTTGCCTAAGAGCAGAGACCTAAATGGCGAGGCCTTCCAGGCCAAGGGAATAGCCTGCAACAGGCCTGGAGACATTAGGGGACAGTGTGCAGGACACGGGAAGAAAGTTGGGGGAGCTAACGTGTTGATGGTGTTGGGGTGGGTGTTGAGGGTGGTGACAGGGTGACTTGAAGTGAGGTTGGCAGGGCATGCTAGGGCCACATTGTGAAGGTTCTGTGATTGTGCTAGGGTTTAGATGAGAAGGGGGTGGGTGTACATAGGTTCTGCGGGAGCCAGTGAAGAATTCCAGACAGAAGAGTGTCCTGATAGGTTTTGAAAGACCCCTCTGCCTAAGGCTGTCTACAGCCTGTTTCTCCAATAGCCGTGTTTCTAAATGCTTATGAGATCACGTACCTCCTGCGTCCCACCTCCCATCACTTCTTTACATTGTCTCCAAGGCTGTGTGTGATTGAACACCTGCTGCCAACACAGTCTTATCTCCCTGGACCCACTAAGCCCATCCACAGGGGCCTTAGGTATGGTTGCTTTTTCCAAATGGCTCATGTGAAAATTGCCTGTAGGTCAGATTTGTATCACTGCCATGTGGATTTTCTCAGGAGTGGGCTGGGGTTTCCGGGAGCAGCTAGCTGGAGGAATCCATACGTGGCAGGATTTGGAATTCCTCCAGGGTGGTACCTTTCTGCCTAGTCACTGTTGCCCACAACTTGGGTGAGAGGAGGCACTGATCAAGCGGAAATGGGCAGATTCAAGTCCTAGGTGGATCCTCAGACCTTCCCTTTGGGGGCCTCACCTTCCTAGGACCCTGCAGTCTACCCCCACAAATCACATGAGGAGCTATCTCCAACTTCTCCTTGTTGCTTTAGAATGTTTTGAGCAGCCCTCTCCAAAAGAAGGAGACCTCCGCACCAGTTCTCCTAGGCCCATCAGCTCTTTCTCATCTCCCTGCATCAGGGCCGCTCAGCCTTCCTTGAGGGTCCCTTGTAAAGATAAAAAACTAAGCTTAATTAGCTCGATTCAGCACTAACCTGGCATAGTACCACCTTCCCAAGGAGGAGCGTCTGACTGCTTAATGACAGGTTGAAACTTGGAGACCATGGAGCAGAACCTGGCACTGAGGCCAGGGAGCAGAGCCCAGGCTCCAGCTCGGGCCGAGGGCCTGTGGCTCCCCTGGCCGGTGCTTCTGCCCTGCCCACTCAGCGCACCCACAGCGCCTGCCAGGCTTCCTCCGCCTGGGACTGTGCTGGCTGTGAAGTGGACTGGCCATCTCAGGGTTCCTTTGCTGCCACCCCCCTGGAGGAGGTCCCCACTGAGGCAGTCATCAGGGAGTGGCCTTGGGCTACAGGACCTTGCTGTGACCTTGAAGTGGCCCCCGGGCACCTGCTCCATGTTTCTTCCTCCCACTCAGAGGACTGTTGCTGGATGAAATACAGGACAGCCAGTGAAATTTTAATTTCAGATAAACAATGAATAATTTCTTAGTTTCAATGTATCCCAAATATTGCATGGAAAGGTTTAACTGTGTGGTGCACCCTTGAGTACTGAAAAATTATTGAATTATGAATTATTGAATGTTGAGTTATGAAAACTCAAAAATGACTCATTGCTTATTGAAATTAAAATTTCACTGGGTGTCCTGTGGTTTTATTTGCTAAATCTGGCACTTCTTAAAGAACTTGCCATGCTTGGCCCTGGTGGGTCACATACTGGGTGTGGCCTCACTCAGCAGACTGTTACTGAGTCCTGCCTGGGCCGGCTCTGTGCTGACGCTGGGGTGTGGGGCAGGGATGAGTCCCCAGTCCATCTCTGGGACCTCGTGGATGAGCTATCCCGCTCCTTCCTGGGCCACCGTTTCCTCGTTTGTCATGTGAGATTAATCGGACTATGCTGCTCCTGTTCTCGCGAGGATGAATGACCCTGCCCCTGCTACCGCCCTCTCTGCTCTTCCCTTGTTCACCCCCTTGGTCTTCAGTCCAGAGGGAGCATCAGATAGAGGAGGCCTTCCCTGCTCCCTCGCTGGCCAGGGCTCCTCTGTTATATACCAGGACCCCCAGTGCAGATTCAGTGAGTAGAACAGGCTACAGAATCTGTGGGGCCCAGGGCAACATGAAAATGGGAGGGACCCTTGATCTAGAATCCCTGAGAATTTCAAGACAGGGACAGCAGATCATGACAAGGTCCCAGCTCCGACCCTGAGTGACCATACAGGGCGCACACCTGGAAGCTGGCCTTGCTGTGGAGATCCAAGGAGACACAGGGCGGGTGAGGTGTGAGCAGGAGGGTCTGGGGCATGGACCCCCTGAGCAGGGAGGGATGGAGACTACGCCAGACCTGTGCCTGCCTCAGCCACACTGCACCGCCTGCCTGTGTGACGACTGTGCTGCCACGTCTCCTAGGTTTTCTAGAGAAGGCGAAATTTATTAATGAAATCTTTCTTACATAGTGGCAACTGATTCATATTTTGGAAAATTGCTGTGAAAGCAGAATTAAGCACCCTGTCTTCAGGGTCGCGTTTAGTGTGGTTAACAATTATACACTGATCTGCGTAGTCACTGGATTTATCTGTGTCTCCCCCCTCCAATGGCCCGTGACCTCCACCAGGACCACAACAGTGACTATGTGTGCCTACTGTGTTACCCTGGGTCTCAGCACCACATTTGGCACATGGTAGGAACAGCCACAGTTGCTAAGACTTCATTCATTACGGGAACGCACTAGGGAGTTGGATAGACCTGCTCTTCCCCACCTAAAATCATGAGCATCATCCCTGTTAATAAATGCGATCACACGTGTAAAGCCTGAGACAGCCTGTGCGTGTGGCAACCGCTCAATAACTGTGAGCTGTCTGGGTGGTGATGATGGGTCCATCTATTTGCTGTACTCTGGGGGGTTGTTGGAAAGGCGAAGAAGCCTGCTTTGAGCACACCTGTCTGTCTGTTTCCCCAGGATGCCAAGTTTGTAGAGGAGCGAAGGAAGCAGCTCCAGAGCTACCTGCGCAGCGTCATGAACAAAGTCATCCAGGTGGTCCCTGAGTTTGCCGCCAGCCCCAAGAAAGAGACCCTGGTTCAGCTGATGCCCTTCTTCGTGTAAGTACCATTCACGGGGACGTGCTCCACCTGTGCGTCCTTCCTTCTCTCTTCCATAGTTGGGCAGTGAAGCTGGCCTGTGTCCTCGACACCCTGGGATCCAGGGGTGCCCCAGTGCTGTGGAGGCACTGACAGGGAGACTCAGGCCATGGTGCTTTGGAGTTCCTGAAGGGCTCGTGAAAGAGTGAGTGTGCAGATGAGCATCGTTGATTTGAGGTCTGTGAATAAATGCAGGGCTGAGTGGTTTTATACTTTTATACATTGTGATCACAGCAAAGATTCATTTTCTGTCCAGCTCATGGGTGGTCCAGAGCTAAAATGCTCTCTGTCTTCAGCTTGGGTAGCAAACCCAAGGAAAAATTCTCAGACTCCCACTGGTACCAACTTAAATGATTTTCATATTAATATTCCTTAAGTATGAACAAACTTAAAACTAGGTATAAATTCCTTGTTCTTATATCTCCTTATAAAGGTAAAAAAATTAAAGAAGTTTACATGTTAAGCACTTGCAGAATTGTTACGATTCACTGTTGTCCATGTACTGCTGGTGCCGTTTTCTGAAACCAGTCTTTGCTCGCATGGCGTGTGGCAGGGCCTTGTTTATCATGTGCCGTGTCAGTGTGTATGCTGTTGACCCTGTTCCTCTCCGTGTTTCTCAGGTCACAGTACCTAGAAACACCTGTTTGTGCAGCACCGTGAAGCAGGTGGCCGTCACTTGGTGTCCCCACCTGGTCACCCATGAGTCCACTCTGTCCTAGTAAGTCTGTCAGCCTGAGATATTCACATCCTTGGAGTTTGGAGAACTGGAATGATGAAGCAGTACTCGGCTTTTACAGAGTCTTTAGATGTTGTGGAATATAGTTTCATTATTTCTAAAATGTTGTCATCATCATGGAAATAGTAGCAAGCCTGTGGCTCCCCAGAAATGGGATGGGACTCGTCATTGAGAAACACTGCTCTGAGTCTGTGTGACTGGGGTAAAGTAAGAGTTTCCTTTCACTGGAGCTCTTTGCAGTGGTGTGCTGAGGGCTGGGGGAGGGGGGTCTGATTCTTTCTAACAGTGATGCTGTCATGTAAAACCGGGGGCTTATTTCTGCTTCTCACTATGAGGGGTGCTGCTTTAGCAGCATACTTCCCAGCATTTCCAAGTTGAACTTCCAACCAGACAAATGTGCGCAGCTCTGCTCCTCTTACCTGCGTAGGACCTTTGAAATTGTAGCCAAGCTGGTTGCTTATGTTTTTCTACTTGTTTTAAGGCTTTTGTGAGAAGGCATAATTCTGTTGTGCTGCCTGTGATAAAAGATACCCTTTTCTTTCAAACAGAATATCCCATATGGAAACCTATGTTTTCTTTTATTGGGTTATTTGTGATGCCAGAGCCTTGAGCTCGCTGTTTTGAAAGTGACACTAGTTCATGAGAGTCGTTCCTGTTCTTTTAAAGGCACCTCCCAGCCCATGATGTGTATTGGAAATTAACTTCTCACCGAGTCCTGTGTGTTTTGGCTAAATTCCTTGATGAAAACTGAGTTAGAGAGTTGGTCCTAAGTCCCTCATGCTGAGAAAGGAAAGAACACTGCCCTGCACAGAGCTGGGAGAGAAACCTTTTGTGCCTGATTAGCACAGAGAACATAAGGTTCAATTTCATGGGCTTTAAAAATACAAAGAATTTCAGTCAGAGATTGTGGCAAATGACACAATATTGACATCAGATTTCTGGCTGAATACTGGTCCAGACCCAGGTGAATTGAACAGCTTTTCTCTGTTGGCTTTCCTCGCAGTTCCAAATTAAGCTGCCCTCTCTGCCTCTGTCTCTTTGAGTGAGACGGGGCTGCAGGTTGGAGTTTGCAGATTGTTTCATTTGGAGGAATGGAAGATGAGCTGGTGAACCTTCCTCCATGTGATCATTTCTCGTCTGTGTGCTCCCAGAAAAACAGTGAAATGTATTTCAGCTCCAGAGCTCAGCCTAAGAGATTTCTGGTTTTTAAAAAAATATTCTCTCAGCTAAGGAAATAAACCCAAAAAAGCATATATTTTTTAATAAACCTTGACGGATTTCCTGGGCTCTTTCAAATGGTGATTCAGCATCCTAAGATCAGCTTTAGCCACTGAACACAAACAGTCCAGTGCCACTGCTCCTTCTGCCCCTTCGTTTGGTGAGCATGTACTATAGGCACTGGCTTAACCTTTGACCTGCTTGACCTCCCTGAGAGCCTATTAGGGGGCACCATTTCTCCATTTTACTAGGTGGAACCTTACAAAGTTGTCAATAAAGGGACAATTTCAGAAGGTTCCAGCTAATTCTGATGAGGAAAGGGAGGCTCTGAGAGATCCCCCGGCTGACCCCTGGGCCACCCACCAGCACATGGGAGCCTGGGCTGTTTGGTGCCATCACCCATGTTTTGGGGCATGGGTGACAAATCCACGACCTATGGATTGAGCCTGACCCTCTGACCTGTTTTATTTGGCCAGTCCAGCGGGGTTTTGTTATTAGTTTTTCTTAATTGAGGTATTGCCAACATCAAAATTTAGAAGGTGTCAGATTTTAAAAATCGGACATCAAGCCCAGCCAGCGTGGCTCAGCGGTTGATATGACCCAGGAAATCTCTGTTCAATTCCCAGTCAGGGCACATGCCCAGATTTTGGGCTCAATCCCCAGGGGGCGTGCGGGAGGCAGCCAATCACTGACTCTCATCACTGATGTTTCTATCACCGTCTCTCCCTCTACCTTCCTCTCTGAAATCAATAAAAATATTTAAAATTAAAAAAAAAAAAAGTTGAATATCAAGCTTCTGTTGAAAACGAGAATTGGTCACACCTGTTATGGAGTGAATGTGTCCCGTCCCCCTCCAAATTCATATTTTGAACTTGTACCCTCCAATGTGATGACAGTTGGGGTCTTTTAGAGGAATTAGGCATGATGACATTAGTGCCCCTATAGGAGGAGGGAGAGAGACCAGAGTGTTCTCTCTGCCATGTGAGGACACAGCGAGAAGGCGGCTGTCTAAGAGCCAGGAAGGCTGCCTTCCTTCACCTGGAACCGAAACTGCCAGCACCTTGATCTTGGACTTTCAGCCTTCAGAACTGTGAGAAAGAGATGCCTGTTGCTTAAGCCACAAATCCTGTGTGGTATTTTGTTCTGGCAGCTGGGACAGACAAATACCCACTTTCATTCCCACTCAACCACACTTGGCCACAGCTTAGCCTAACAGTGCTGCCATGTCCCCACGGAGGCACCCCCCCCCCCATTGTCTCTGGGACATTGAGCCGAGTCTTATTGCTATTTCTTGTTGGTGTTTGGCCGTTTTTCTCATACATTCAAGGGGTATCACTCACTCACATAACCTGCAGTCCTGCCTCTTACCCACTGCTCAGATGGCTTCCCCACGCAGGGTTTGGATGTGAGGACCAGGCAGCGCATGTCACCCATGATGCATTTGGCTCGCGTATGTGCTCCCATGTATGTTCTGTGAGCTAGTCTACTGCTGAACTTCAGAAAGGGTGGTCCCATCCCAGTTTGGGGTGGAAGAGAGAAGATGGGCAGGGGAATAAAAGCCTGTGGGTAGCCCTGGCCAGTGTTGCTCAGTGGTTAGAGCATCGACCCACACACCGAAGGGTTGTGGGTTCGATTCCTGGAAAAGGGCACATACCTGGGTTATATGTTTGATCAACTGGGGGGCACGTGGGAGGCAACCAATTGATGTTTCTCGCTCTCCCCCTCTCTCCCTCTCTCCCTCCCTCTCTCTCTCTCTCTCTCTCTCTCTCTCTCTCTCCTTCCCTCTCCCTTCCACTCTTTCTAAAAATCAGTGGAAAAATATCCTTGGGTGAGAATTAAACAAAAAAAGCCTGTGGGTAGAATTTGCTCATGGTTTTCTTCTGGTGTTTTTCCCCCCTAAATATTCCTTAAAACTTTCAGGTTTGTGCAGCCTAGGGTCCAATATTAGATGGAACCTGCTTTTGCACACACTTTGCTGTTCATTTTTTCTGTTTACTGTGTCAGTATTTCACTCTTCTGCAAGGGGCACCATGACTTCCAAGTATTTTGCCATCTGTACAGATCTCAGAGTTGAAGAATCAGCAGGTTGAATTTTTTCTCCAAATCTCTCTGCCTCCCATTGCCTTCCTTGCTAACACCAGCAGGAAGCTACATTAGAAAGTAGGGCAGTGGGAAGCGGCTATTTCTTGTGCATTTTGAACTCTGTCTATCAGTCTGGCCCAGGTGGGGACCAGAGTCCACCCACCAAAATGGCCAGTAGATGAATGGCAGCCCCAACACCCTCTTCTTCTGGGAGCCCCACATTCTTTGTGTTGCCCTGGCATTTCAGAGAAAAGTGTCCACTGAGACGTGACACATGGCAGATGTTAGCAGATATTGAGGGAAATATCAGGTGTGCTTTTGAAAGTTAATCAGGGGACACTTGTATTCCGAGAATTCATTCTGCGGAACTGGACCGCAAATCAGGGAGGGCTTAAATGATTTGCCCTGCTTTCGTTTAGCATGTTAATAAAACAGGGATTTTTTTCGCAGAGTAATTTATCCCTGGGAAATGTATTATATTCTGCCGTTCCTTGAGGGGAAAGAAAAAGTTATGGGGGTGGAAGCCAGAGTAATGTAGGTCACTGCACAAATTCCCAGCTGGGCTTTCAGCAGAAAATGCAGTCACTGTCTTCCCCACTCCACACCCCATCTGCTGCCACATTTACTCTTAAAGTTGTGAGATATATTTTTTTGCTGAAATATGAGCTTCTGTGTTCTCCCAGTGAGCATGGGTTTAGCTCAGGATGAAATGCTCCTACTGGTGCACCACCAGATGTCACCTGAACCTAAGTTCCTTCCTAGGAACTTTGACCTCACATTGCTTTTGTGGACTAGCCCAAACCTTCCTAGCTTAAGTCGTCAGCATCGCCCAGGTGCCAGGAAGGAGCACAGACCCTTCATGAGGTCTCAAAACATGCGGCTGGACCGGCAGGCTGCTTAGGTGTGGACAGTGTTTTAAAGTAAA